AGTCCCAGGCTACTCGGGAGGCTGCAGGCAGGAGATTGCCTTGAGCCCAGGAGTTTGAGGTGCTGTGAGCTAGGCTGACGCCACGGGCATTCTAGCCCGGGCAACAGGTGATGACCTGTGTCCAAGAAAGAAGAAAGGAAGGAAATAAAGAAAAGGAAGGAGGGAAGGAAGGAAGGAAGGAAGAGGAGGAGGTGAGGGAGGGGAAGGAAGGAAGGAAGGAAGGAAGGAAAGAAAGAAAGAAGAGAAAGAAAGAAAGAAAGAAAGAAAGAAAGAAAGAAAGAAAGAAAGAAAGAAAGAAAGAAAGAAAGAAAGAAATGGTGGATGAGTCCCTCCAGGATAGAGGTTTTAGTATTACAACGAGCTCAAGGGTTAATGGTGGTCATTCTTTCAGCCTTGTGGGCAGGTGGGATGCGGGGCCACGGTGGTGTCATTCGTCTCCTCTGGACAAACAGGTGGTGTGAGTGTGAGGCTTTGTCGTTACTGCGGCTGCAAGGAGGCTCCACCGTTACTGGGAGAGAAGCTCAGAAGGGAGGGCATCAGTGCAGCAGCAGGTGACGAAGCTCTGGTCAGGCCGGGGCGAGGTGGCTCACGCCTGTCATCCTAGCTCTCTGGGAGGCCGAGGTGGATGGATTGCTCCAGGTCAGGAGTTCGAAACCAGCCTGAGCAAGAGTGAGACCCTGTCTCTACTATAAATAGAAAGAAATTAATTGGACAACTAATATTATATAGAAATTAGCCGGGCATGGTGGTGCATGCCTGTGGTCCCAGTACTTGGAGCTGAGGCAGGAGGAGGATCGCTTGAGCCCAGGAGTCTGAGGTTGCTGTGAGCTAGGCTGACGCCACGGCACTCACTCTAGCCTGGGCAACAAAGCGAGACCCTGTCTCAAAAATAAAAAAAAGCTCTGGCTGGGGCATGGTGGCTCACACCCGTGAGGACTGAACTCTGATTTTTTTTGCTAAAAACTCCTTCCTAAGGAGGCCAGCTGGATCAGGCTGACAAATGGTAAATTCCCACTAGCGGCTTTTGTTAACCAAATAAAGCGGTGATTTACTTCCGGACCTGATTCCGGTATGGCATTAACATCACCTAAAAGATAAGAAGCTCCTATCTTAACTCGAGCATCCTAGCAGATACCTATTCTTAAATTTAAAGCATCTTAAAACATCCTAGCAGGTGCCTATTGTAAATTTAAAATGTCCTCCTGTCTGGACCTCCCAGAGTGCCCACAACCTTATCTTAAAATAAGCATATCCTAGGCCAGGCGTGGTGGATCACGCCTGTAATCCTAGCACTCTGGGAGGCCCAGGCGGGAGGATTGCTCAAGGTCAGGAGTTCGAAACCAGCCTGAGCAAGAGCAAGACCCAGTCTCTACTATAAATAGAAAGAAATTAATTGGCTAACTAAGATATATATACAAAAAACTAGCCGGGCATGGTGGCGCATGCCTGTAGTCCCAGCTACTTGGGAGGCTGAGGGAGGAGGATCGCTTGAGTCCAGGAGATTGAGGTTGCTGTGAGCCAGGCTGACGCCACGGCACTCACTCTAGCCTGGGCAACAAAGTGAGACTCTGTCTCAAAATAAATACATAAATAAATAAAAGCTCTGGTCAGCATGTCTCGCTGGCCGGGAACTTGGAAGGTAAGACAAAGACAAAAGGACAATAAAAAGTGTTCTTGCGTGTGGAGCCGGTTACATCTGCACCACCTCCCACTGCAGGGGCCCAGCCCGAACCCCAGGAGGCAGGATGCACAGCGGGAACGCTCCAGGACGGCAGGGGCCACCCCACGCACCACGGTGGAGAGCAAGTGTCCCCCGCCACGGAGAGACCGGCCCCGGCGGGCCTCGCCAGTAGAGATGCCAGGGATGCTCGCAGGGACAGTGCCACAGGGAGGCCGTGGGCTGGGTTGCGTCCCTCAGACCTGCCCCCAGCAGGCGGCCACTCACATGGGTGACGAGGAAAGCGGAATCAACCCAGACGTCTCGGGCGATGGGGGCCGCAGGGCCAGGTCGTGATCCTGACACGCAGCCGGGCGTGTGGGCACGTGGTGGCCAAGGGGCCAGTGGGCCTGGTCCACAGACCCTCCCTCAGGCATCTCCACGCCCCGAGAGTGTCACCTGGCATGGAGACAAACGGTGGCGTGTGGGGCCCCCATGGGGTCAGCACCTGCTAGGCGGGAGCCAAGCAGTGGGGTCGGCCAGGCAAGGCTCTGGAATCGCCCCGACCCGTGCCCAGCCAGCAGAGTCAGCCCAAAACACCTGGAGAGGAAAGCGGGCATCCCTGCCACTGAGGACCCCCGTGGGAGGGGGTGCTGGTCCCTGAGCACCGTCCCCTCCTGTCTTCTGGCCAGCAGGACAGGGGGACCCAGGTGGGTGGCAGTGATTGGTGCAGACCCACCAAGTGGGAGCCCAGGTGCAGCTGGGGCCAGGTGTAGATGGAGGGGGCCTGGAGCGCTCTGGCAGGTGCAGCGCGTTACTGAGGTCACGCAAGGGCACGTCCTGCTTCCAGTGTCTGGTCCACACAGGTGCAACGACCTGGCCATCTTGCCCTGTTCTGAATGTTTCTGAAGGGCCATCCCAGCTCCAGCGCACCTGTGGATCAGCTCAGGTCTTTGCGGGCCGGCCGTGCTGTGGCCCGACTTCTCCTTCTGCCTCCTGCTCTCCCTTCCCCACACACAAATTTCCTCTTTGGAGTCTGCTTTCTGGGGAATGTGGGCGGGAGCAGCCTCGCAGGGCCTTGCGGGTTACCCAGTGCCCGGGCTTCCCTCCAAGTGCAGAGGGAGCCCTTGCGGTGCTGTGGGCGGGGCAGGGACACACGCTCTGTGTCCACAGGGTGGCTGTGCCTGCAGTGCTGAGCAGCAATGCGGCCCCAGGGAGGTGGGGGGGACGGCTTGCCCTGCAAGGTGGAGCCAAGGGACTTGGCCTGGGCCACACAGGGACGGGCGGGCCCTACCTGCTTTGGGAAGGGGTGGGTGGGGTAGAGGAGGACCCAGAGGCCTCCTGTTGGAGAGGCTAGGGCACCCCCTCCCACCCCCTCCGCAGTGCGGGCTCTGGGGGTTGTGTCTGGAGCCTGGAGGGAAATTGGGGCTGTTGGCACAAGATGCATCTCTGGCCCGATTCTGGGTCCTCCAGAGGGACCCCTGAGCCCTACACTGGACCACCCCACCCACACACTTCAGGATTGGGGCGGGCAGACGGGGCCTGGGCAGATCCACCACTGGCCCCGTGGAAGGCTCGCTGCAGCCCTGAGCCCTGGTCCAGGGGGCTTCCCCTCCTGTCCCCTGTCATGCTGGTTCCCCCTTGGCCGTTCCTTGCCTTTCCGCCACCTGCTCTGGTCTCTGTCCCACTAGCAGCCAGCAGGGAAATCTGTACCCCCAAGGCCCCCACGCTGGCGCCCAGAGAGTGACATGGGCTCTGGGGACAGAGGGGCTCTGCCTGGGCAGCTCTGGTCCTGAGGTGAGGCCTGGCCTGGCACGGGGCTCCCTCCCCTGAAGCTGAGGGGGCCAGGGCTCTGGCCTGCAGGAAGGGGCCTTGGCAGGTGGGCCCCCACTGGGCTGGGCCAGGAGCCTTCAGTGGGGTGGGGGTGGGCTGCGTGGGTAGGGGTCTCTGCCACTGCCCCCAGCATCCTTCCTTGGGGGGCCCCCTGGGGGAGGATGGGGGGACGGGGGGCTCAGGAGGGCATCTGCCACCACTGCAGTCCCGTCCCGCAGCAGCCTGGGGGGGCGGAGCCTCGAGCTCCAGGCTGTAATTTTCGATATATTTAGCGGTGGGGGGCGGGAGGGCTGCTGGGTATAAGCGGCTGTGGGCGCCCACCCTGCAGCACGAGTAGAGCAGGAAGAGACGGCGCTGGAACCCATGGACACGTCGTTCCCCCGCGAGGACCCCGGGCCCCCCACGCCGCGAAAGGCCGACGGCGCTGCCCCCACGGCCCTCACGCTGGGGACGCCGCGCCCCCCGCCCCGAGACCACTTGGTCTGGTCGGTCTTCAGCACCCTCTACCTGAACCTGTGCTGCCTGGGCTTGCTGGCGCTGGCCTACTCCGTCAAGGTGGGTGGCGGGGGCTCTGCACCAGGGTGGTGGGGGCTGGGAGGTCTCAAAGCGGGGCGAGTCCACCCCAAACGCACCGAGGCTGGGGGGACCCGCAGAGTCCCCCTGGTTCATATTCGGATTTTCACAGAGCCTGGGTGGGATGGGGCCGGAGCGGGCACACCCCAGAGGACCCCTCTAGCTGACCCTGCCCTGGCGGGGCCCCAGGCAGTGTCAGGCTACCCCTCCATCCAGACTGTGGGTCCAGAGAGGGCCCCCAGGTGCAGGGGGTGGGGGAAGCTGGGCCCCAGGACCCTAGGACGCGCAGAGATCGGGCCTGTGGCTGCTCTGCAGGCCCGAGACCAGAAGGTGGCTGGGGACCTGGAGGCAGCCCGGCGTTTCGGCTCCAAGGCCAAGTGCTACAACATCCTGGCGGCAATGTGGACGCTGGTGCCGCCGCTGCTGCTCCTGGGGCTGGTGGTGACCGGTGCCCTGCACCTGGCCCGGCTGGCCAAGGACTCCGCTGCCTTCTTCAGCACCAAGTTTGACGACGGGGACTATGACTGACAGGCTGGGTCCCGACCCTGTCCTGACCTGGGCCCGACCCCAGGACGCTGACCCGGGGTGCCGGCCCTCTGGAGCCTGACCCCACCCTGACCCTGGGGCCCTCCAGCCCCAGCACGGGCACTGGATCCATTCGGACCCAGGGGCCTCACCCCACCCTGGAGGTTCCCAGCCCCTAACTCTGCCCCCAGCCCGACTCCCTCCCCACCCACCGGGCTCAGACCCAGTTTCACAATTAAAGTGCCTGGTTCCAGAAAGTGCCTCCTGGGGTTCCCTCCTGGCTGGGGTGGGGGGAGAGAGCTACCCCAGGGACTGACCCCCACCACGGCTCAGCAGCCCTGTTCTGTCCCCACGGCCTGGCCACGGGCAGCCTGTGGCTTCTAGGGTGGAGACGCCTGAGTATTTTAGAACGAAGTCTGGGAACCCAGGCCTTTGATCCCTGCTGCCCTGTGGTTTAGTGGCCTGTGTTCCAGGACATGTGTGGGCGTCTCCCAGTTCCACACGTGTGCCCAGGCCATCCATGCGCGTGTGTGTTTGTGCACGCAGGCCTGTGTGAGTGTCGCGGTCCTGTTTGGGGCTGGGTGTGGGCTGCCCTCCTTCCAGCCTGCTCTGCCCCTGGCGCCCCCTCATTCTGACAGATCTCAGACCCCAGTGGTTTCCTCCCTCCCTGGGCAGTGAGGGTGACTGGGAAGGCGGGCAGGGACTGTCCCCTGGGTGGGGCTCACACACAGGACTGCAGCCCCCTCCGTCCCTCCCTGACTCCCCCATCCCACGAGTGCACAGGCTGTGCCCCCCACAGCACCCCGTGCACCCACCGGAGCCAGCAAAGCCTGGCAGATGGGGGGCACACACACGCACACCGTGTGTGGCTGGGGTGAGGCCAGCAATGACAGGGTGGGCTAATTGCAGGGTCCTTAACTGCAAGGCAGCTCGGGTTTCGAGCACCCCGCCCAGGGTCCCTTCCCTTCCCAGGGAGCCCCCATCTGTGACATGCCCCTGCCAGCAGCTGGCCCACCCGTCTCCATGGAGCCCCACGCGGAGGACGTGTCTGCAGGCCGTGCTGAGCACTGGAGCCAGGCAGGGCTGATCCCACGGCGGACCAAGGACGGCATCAGAGTGCCAGGGACGGAGACTGTGCCCACACTGGGTGAGGGCAGGGCCTGGCTGAGTCGCCTGGGGAAAGCGTAGAGAGCAGCCTCCCGGTCCCGGGCTGAGTCTCCCGGCAAGCTGACGGACCCCGGCCTGCCACGGCCACACGCAGGCACTGGCCCACCACCGCCCACCCAAAAGGGCACCCACTGTGTGCACAGAGGTGATCACATGCACCCGCACATGCTGCAAGTGTCAGGCTGCATCTCTCCTGGGAGCACGGGGCCTCCTACCTCCCCGTACTGGTGCCTGTGCCCATGTCACCGTCTCTGGGCTGCAAAGGCACACTTCTGCCCCTGCCCGGCACAGCCCCACCCTGGCCCCTTGCTGCCCAGTGACAGTGTTCGATGGGGCTCAGCTCTGCAGCTGAGGGGCTAGGCGAGGCCCACGGAGGCCAGGGCTCCATTCCTCAAGGCCACGCACTCTCGGCTCAGCTGGTCCCCACTGTGGCCGTGAGCCCTGGTCACCGCCCATGCACCTGGTCACTGTGGCCACGGGACGCATGTCCGCAGGTTTCTACTCCGCACAGTTCCCGTCAGGGCAGCCACGAGGACGCTCTCAGGCCAGCTCTGCCCTGGGGCACACGCGGTTCCCAGCCGCAGGTGAGCACGGCAGGGACAAGGAGCAGGCCTGGTGGGGGCACTCTGACCCCAGAGCCACCTGGAGACCTCTCCACACACGTCCTTCCCTCCTCCCTCACAAGCCGCAAAGACCTGCATCCAAATGAGGCCCTGGTCTGGCGGCTGCTTCCTGGGGAACGTGGACAAAGTCTCCCCCGAGAACAGGAACAAACGGCGGTGCCAGAGCAGAGGTGGCAGGTGCAGCATCAGGAGACCCTGCTCCTTGCTCAGTGCTAGCTTCAGGGTTGCGGCACTTCCCGACCCCGAGGGGGGTTTTTGGAAGGAAGGAAGCACATCGGCTCTTTTAGAGGAGCAAAGCTTTCCTCGGCACCAAACTTTTATTCCTCAGGCTGACCAGGGCAGGGGGCTCGGTTCCCTCAGGACTTTGCAAAAGGCTCTCTCTCCTCCCTTTTTGGGGAACCGCTGATGGCCACCCCAGGGACTGAGGTCCAGGAGCAGAGGCTGCACAGAGCCTCTGGCATTGGGGGGCCCACCCAGGACAAAAGGGCCAGGGCCATGGCCTCGAATCCAGCACGGTGGGCTCTGGCCCCTCCAGCTGGTCAGCGGAGCAATTCGGGGTCTTGCTGTCACATACACCTGTCCCATTTCCTGGTGACGGGCCCCACCTCCCCACTTCCCTTCCGAAAGGCTGCCACCCCACCTTCTCCGTGCCGGAGGCAGGGAGGCCAGGATGGAGGAGATTAAATCCCCACGATGCCCTGTGAGCTTGGGGCCCAGCCCTGCCTGCTCCTCAAGGGCATGACCTGGAAAGTTCCTTTTTGGCAAAGCTGCAACTGAGTAATTCTGTAGGTGGCCGAGGCCCCTTCCTGCATGCAGGCCCTTTGCCCTGCTGTCCCCACGGAGGCCTGCACCTGCCTCTGCCTCTTGGCAGAGCCGCTGGCCGCTCCCCACGTGGCCCTGTGGACTGTGGTGCCCAGGAAAGGAGAGGGTGGGACGAGAGGTGAGGCTCAGGCTCAGCAGAAGCTCAAGAAGGCGTCCTGGGAAAGCCACGAAAAGGGGTGCCGAGAGGAGGTTGGGGTCCCGTCATTCCACAGGGGCAGACCTGCGCCCCCTGCCCAGGGAGTTGGGGGGGCTCAGGCTAGAGGCAGACGGCCTTGAACTTCAGGCCAAGCAACCTGGACCTTCCCGTGAGCCTGTCTGCAGGTGGACGGCGGGTGGACGGCAGGCCAGGAGCATGTCGAGGAGCAGTGGGCGTGGAGGGTGGCCAGAGGGAGGCCCAGGAGACGACGCTGGGGCCTGCAGCCCGGCTGCTCAGGAGCGGGGCTCCGCGCGAGGCACTCGGCAGGGCTGGAGGGACAGGGGTGGAGTGGAGGGTGCCCTGGGCTCCGCGGCAGGTGTCTCGCACTCCCAGAGCTGGGGCCTACGGGCGGCTACGGGGCTGACTTCTGTATCCGGCCAGCAGAGCGAGGAAAGGAGATCTTTTCTCCTGCAGGTAGAGGGGCAGCCTGGGGGTGAGGGCGCCCTGAGGTTGCAAGTCCCCGGGCTCCCAGGGGCTCTGGGGACGTCTCCCACCTGGCCGCAGAGGCAGCTGAGCCCCCGACGGCCAAAGCTCGGCCTCCAGTGGGGCTGCCCCGGGCCCCGGCTGGGCTGTAACTTCCACCGTCACGGAGTCCTCGGAGAAGGAGAAGTTGAGCTTGTTCCCCCGGTAGAAGATGCCAGAGACGCATACTCTGGGGACCCCGGCCGGGCACACGGGGTCAAAGGTCACGCCTGCCCTGGTGACCCTGCGGGAGGAGAGCCCCGTGAGGGGCAGGTGGGGGGGACCGGGGGGACCCGCCCTCCGCCCTCCACCAGCCACCGCGCTCACCTGAACCCCGTGCACCCGAACAGCACGGCCTGCAGGAAGCCGCCCATGCCGGTCAGGAAGTTCACGGCTCCCGACCCGTCCGCATTCTCCGTCCACACCTGCGGGGGGAGGGGTGGGTGCAGTGGGTACCTCCGGGCCAGGGCTGCACCTGCGGGTCTCTCTGAGGCCGGGCTCCACCCCCACCTTGAAGGGCTCAGCCGCGTTTGCGAAGCTCCTGTCCAGAAAGTTCCGGGCCTGCTCGGGGTCCTTCAGCTCCATCCAGCCCACCGCGAACATGCTCTGGGGGCAGAGGTCAGAGGACAGGCTGGGGTGAGGCCCGCAGTGTGGGGAGGGGAGACGGAAGCCGGTGGGCAGGCTCCCCCCACCCCGCAGCTGCTCACCCAGGTCATGGCGGGGCCCCGGGGGGACGTCACGGCCTCGTAGACCTCCAGGTTTCTCCTGCGCACATCGGGACTCAGGGAGAAGGGGACCGGGTACCCCAGGAGCACCACGTCCGCCTGCTTCACCTGCTCTCCTGAAGGGAGGGGCTGCTGACGGGGGCGGCGGGGCCTCCGGGTGGACAGAGGGGGGTCTGTGGGAGCCCAGGGTCCACTCACCAGGCTCGTACCCATCAAACTCGGGGTGGAAGTTCCGTTCCTGGTCGAAGGGCACCTTGATCTTGTCAGCCACCTCCAGCCACCGCTTGGGGACAGGTAGCCCCAGGTCCCAGGCCAGGGCAGCAGCAAAGCGCAGGCTAGGGACAGAGGGAGGTGACGCTGCAGCCCCAGCCCTCGCAGGGCCAAGGCAGAGCCTGGGGCGGGTCTGGGGTCTCACCTGTTCTGGGCCACCACGTTGGTGTACACGGAGTTGTCGACTCCGGCGTGGTACTCGTCGGGGGGCATGACTCCTGGGCACACAAGGCCGGGGGGCTGCTCAGCGCAGGGTCTCAGGGACCTGCCCTGATGCCAGTGTCAGCGTGGGGCAGCACCCTGCGGGTCCGGGAGCACCCCACCAGCGCGCACCCCGAAGGTGGTACTGCTCCTCCCTGGGGCTCCATTCCACGCGGCTGCACCAAAACTCCGCCACGGCGCTGACCACGTCCCAGCCGCCGGCCTCCCGGAAGAGCTGCAGGTCCTGGACAGAGGCCAGGGCACCGGTCACCCTGCCCAGCGCCCACCTCTGGGCGTCCAGAAAGGAAGCCGCTCCCCGCCGCCAGCTCCCCAGAACAGGCCCGAACAGCGACCCTCACCTGGGTGGCGTGGGACCCTCACCTGGGTGGCGTGGTAGTACAGCTCGAAGGCCAGCACCACCGCCCCGTTGATGTGGATCTCCTGCGTCCCGTAAATGTCCTCGGGGCAGACCTCCAGGCCGGAGCCCGCGCTCTCCCAGGCGAACTTGGCTCCCTGAGGTGGAGGGTGAGGAGCAGACTTGCCCCTGTGCTGGGGGGCAGGGGCAGCCCCCCAACCTCCCCATGCCCTCAGCCTTCACCCCGAGGGGCCAGAGGAGTGGGGGGCACCATGCCCTGTGGGCGCTGCTGCCGTGGGTGCCTGTCCCCACCTTGGGCCAGGGCAGTGATGGGACCCGGGGGTCGTGGGAGCCCTGCTGCTATTCCCCCCTGTGGGCTGGGGGTCTGCCGAGGCTCCACGAGCCCTGGGTGGAGCATCCAGGATCTGCCGGCCCCCCAGAGAGGGCCCCGGGGCAGGTGCCCAGAGCCTCACCTGGTAGCCCAGGTTGTGGGCGTTCTGCAGGGCCCCGCCCAGCGTCCGGACCCGGTACTCCAGGATGGCCCTGGCCGCCTCTGGGTGCAGCATCAGGACCAGCGGGAACATCCAGAGCTCCTGAGGGCACAGCCCCTGATTCCCAAGCTGAGTGGGGCTGACACCTCTGCCCACCCCGGGTCCACCCTGCAGTTCTGGCTGCGCCCAAGGGCTCAGGCCGGAATCCGGCACCGACAGCCCAGCGTAGGAGCCCGACCTCGAGCGACTCAGCCCCCCGAGCCCGCACAGTAGACGGCCACAGCGCCCACCTCGGGGACGTCAGATGAGGGGGGGACCTGGGCAGTCACCCTCAAGGCCTCCACGCCCACCGGCCACCCATGCCCTCAGCTTCCCTGCCTCTCCCCAGTGTCCTCCCTCGGCTCCCCTGGGCAGCCCCACGGGTCTTTCCAGAACGTGCCACTCTCCTGATTAAACCTCCGTGGCTTCCTCGGCCCTCAGGTAAACCCCGAGTGCTACACTGTGCTCTCTACAAAGTCCTGGTGACCTCGGCTTGTTGCTCTTCCTGCGGGAGCGAGGGTCACCCCTGGCTGCCAGGTGCCTTGCACCCTGCAGCTCTGGGCCTTTGCACCTTTGGTCCCTCACCTGGTTACTCTTCTCTACTCACCGTGTACACACCCATCTGCTGAGATGCCACCTCCTCCAAGAAGCCCTCCCTTCTGCCACAGCCCCTGTGCTTCCCCGACCGCAGCCCCGATCCCAGGGAGGGCAGAGGCAGTGTCCCTCCACGTCCACGTGCCACCTGCCATGTGGCTAGTGCCGGGTGGACCACGCTCACCTGGTCCCAGAAGACGTGGCCCCAGTAGCATTCCTCACGGCTCCCGTTGGAGAGGCCACCGGGGCTGAGGCCATGGCAGATGTACTCCGTGGCCCCGGGCGGGGGCAGGGCACTGAGCAGGTAGTAGAGGGAGCCACGCAGGGCCTGGCGCAGGGGCAGGGGCCCTGCCACGTCCAGGCCACGGCCTGCCCAGAGCTGCGCCCAGGCCCGTGTGTGGGTGCTGTACAGAGCACCCCCGGCCTGCAGCTGCATGGCCTCAGCGAGGCAGGCCTGGGCCTCGGCCTGGCTGCTGCCCACCACCGTCAGGAAGTCCCAGGTCCCATCTTCCTGGCCTTCCGCCAGGGTCAGGGCTGGAGGCACTGGTGTCCACAGCATGTGCACCTCCTGCTGCGGCCCTCCAGGCTGCTCAGGGCTGAGGGTGTGGCCATAGAGGTACCTGCAAGAGTGTGGCCGTGCCTCAGAGAGGGGCTCCCCACCTGGACTCCCCAGCTGGGACCCCAGCCCCTTCCTCACCGGGCTCCCTGGAAGTCAGGACCCTGGCGCAGGTCCAGGTCTGGGCTTTCTGGGGAGAAGGCCGACCGCAGCAGCACCGTGACAGGCTCGTGCCCCTCGGTCTGACGGGCAATGGACACACTGAAGGCCAGCACATGGGTCAGTGTGCGGTGGGCGTAGATGCACTGGGAGGCCCGGAAGCTGGGGCCCTCCAGGGTGTGCAGAAAGGAACCTGGGCAGGGTGGGAGGGAAGGCAGGGCCAGCCATGGAAGGCTGCAAAGCTGCAGGGCTCCTGAAGCTGCAAGGCCTCGCAGCCCAGTGGCCGCCCTGGGGGGTCAAGTCCCGCTGACCTCTGGCTGCCTCTCCCCACCAGGAGGCAGATCCGCCCCCTGACCCTCAGTTCCTCTGTCTGAGAAGCTGCAGCTGCACCGGGACCTCGGGACCTGACCCAGATGGAGGGAAGGGGGACCCTTGTGTGCACTGTGGCCTCTGGGCCTCCTCTTCCTTGTAAGATTCCTGTGTGGGGCCAGGAGGTGCCGGGTGGGATCTGCCAGTGCGGTTCTCCCGCTCACCTGGAACAGCAGCCTGGGGGGCAGGTGGTAATACCTGTGCTGGTGTCCAGGGCAAAGGTCTCCGTCAGCTGTCCCCCCTTCCCTGCAGGAGCCTCCAGCCGGACGTTGAGGGGGCTGGGCAGAGCCGCTCGGTGTGTGTCCGTCCCGACCCCATTGTACACGCCGCTCACATGCAGCGTGTCATAATACACACGTGTGCCCAGGTATGCGTTGGTCACGGTGGCCAAGAGCCGGGGGTCACTGGGCAGAGAGTGGGCAGTGAAAACGGTGGGGTCCTCACTGGCGTCCTCCATGGTCAGCTGCAGGGGCCTGGAGAAGGGGCCGGCCCCGTGATGGCCTGAGCCTCTGTCTTGGGACTCCCTCAGCCCCTCACAGCCCCCCAACAGGTGGTGGCAGGTGTGGGACTGGCGGGAGCCCTGACACTCCACAGCTCCACCCCTGAGCCACCCTCAACTCTCAGGGGAGCTCAGTACCCCAGGAGCGATTTCCAGGGACACACCTGAGTCCCCAGACCTGTCCCCCAACTCCCACCTGAGAACCACAATCCCAACCCTTGGCAGGACTCCCTGGCCTGCTCTCCAAGCTGCAGCCCCTGCACCAGGTCCTAAGCCCCTTCCTGTGGCCCAGGCCGGTTAGGAAGTCGTGGCCCCCACCCCTCCTCCAGGCTGCGCCAGGGCAGGAAGGGGCCGAGTCCCGCCCGGGGCTGGGGAAGGCAGGCAGGTGGTCCCGGGGACTGCGTGGTCACTGGATACCCTGCGTGGGCAGCTGGGTACCTCCGCTCCACCCCAGGACGAGGCCGCTGCTCCTCCCGCGGGTCGCCGCGTCAACAGGAAGGCTCGGCGGTCCCGCCCCTGAGAGCCTGCCGGGGCGGGGCAGCTGGGCTGGAGGCTGCTCAGCCAGCTGCTGCTGCTGGCTGCAGTCCCTGCCCTCCGCGTGGGCCTTGTTCTCTGCTGGGACCTCAGTGAGAGGCAACCTTTGGCCCGAAGCTGTCTCCAAGGGGAACTTTGAGGGGCCCAGTGGGGCTTCTGGCTGCTTCCCTCTCCAATTCCCACCTCCCCCCGTGCCCCTCCTTCAGGGCGGGGCCTGGCCACTTCCCCTGGAGAGCACTCTTCTCTTTGCCTGGGGACCCCACCTTTTGGTCCCCCAACCTTGCGCCCAGACCTCCTCGACACACCTGCCAACTGGACACCCCAGGGCTGGGCCCTGCTCTCCCTCCTGGCCACCGAGACGCTCCGACTCAGTGCACCCGTGCCCCAGAACCTGCTCCTCCTGCGGCCCCTCCATCACAGGTGACCTCAGCTCCACCATCCTGCTGCTTGGGCCAAAAGCCTTGGCTCACCTCTGCCCCTCGGCCCCTCCAGGCCTCCACCCATGCCCAGCCACAGACAGGTCCTGCGGGTCCACCTGCCTGGATCACTCTCCAGGTGCTGCTCAGAGCCTGCACTGGCCTCTACCCCGAAACCCCCGCCCCACACCCCTGGGTTCTAGACCTCATCTCCTACCCCTCCCCCACTCCACTGCAGCTACCCTGGCTTCCTTGCTGCTTCTAGAACTTCCTGAGCATGCTCCCCTTCCCGAACCATGCTCTGGCCCCTTGGGTTTCAATGCCTCAAGACCCCTTGGGGCTCCTTCACTTCCCCTCTTTGCAAATGCCCAGCCCCTATGGACGCTTCCCCAGACCCCTCACGCGTGGCAGGAGACCCTCCCGCTGCTTTGCTGCCCTGCATGGCACCTGTCAGCCCTTACCTACGTGTCCTCATTGCGTGGTGTCACGTGTTTGTGTTATGCAGACCTTTACATCCCGGCATATTAGGTGCCATGTGTAGTGATGCTGTTACATATTTACATATTTATTGTACTGTGTATCGCATGTCTGTGTATTCTCTGTCTTCCTGCCTAGAATGTTAGCTCTCGGAGGATGGGGTTTTTTATCTGTGTTGTGGAATGAAGGAATCCATTTAGAAAGTGGATTAGAGGGGAATTTCCCCTGGAAGTTGAGGGGCTGACTCCAGCGTCCCCCCACCTGGGCTGAGCCCGGCAGTGCTGAGCAGGGGAGACGCCAAGACCCGGGGCTGACACTCCTGGCCCTGCCCGAGAGGCCACGCCACGCCTCTGCAGTCAGGCCGGCCCCCAGCTTGGTTTCCTCATGGCTGAGCTGGGGAAGCTCAGCCCTGCCTGTGCAGGTGGGTGGCTGGAGAGGCCGTGAGCACCTGTTAGACGCCTGGCCACGTGTAGCAGAGCCAGTGGAAACGACCCCGAAGGAGAATGACTGTCGGTGCGTGGGGGCTGCCCACTCGCCGTGCTGCTCTCCCCCAGTCTCTCTTCCCAGAGACCTCAGACAGAGTGGACACCTCCAGGCTCAGGCCACACAGCCTTGGTGATGGTCTCAGTCCTAATGCCAAGACCCAAATCAATGGGGAGGGACAGTGACCTGCAGACCCACACTGCAGTCGGGGCCAGCCAGGAAGGGGCGGCGCTGCCGGCACACAGTAGGCGCTCAGTTAGTTGGAGCTTGAACCATTGTTATAACTGTTGGGGGCATCTGGGAGGGGCATGGCTGGAGGGAGCAGTGGTGGGGCTCGGGGTGTCCCCCAGGGCGTGGAGGGAGGGGTAGCTCTCAGGCCTGTACCAGGCAGCGGCTGTGTCTGGGGCCCCCACTGGCTTCTCCAGGGCCTCTTGGCTCCAAAGAGTTGCCCAGAGGCTGAGAGCAACATCCTCTCACGCTTGGAATGGGGAAGTCTCCTCTGCAGGGGCTCTGACTGCAGCCTTCTCCACCCTGCTCTGGCTTCCAGCGTCTCAGAGGGCTCTGCTGAGTCCGGCGGGGGCCCGGGGCGGCTGTCCTGAGCCTCAGAGGGCACCCTGAGTCCGGCGGGGCCCGGGGCGGCTGTCCTGAGCCTCAGAGGGCACCCTGAGTCCGGCGGGGCCCGGGGCGGCTGTCCAGAGCCTCAGAGGGCACTGGAGACTCCCACGGGTGGCTCAGGGTGGCTGTCCAGAGCCTCAGAGGGCACCCTGAGTCCGGCGGGGGCCCGGGGCGGCTGTCCAGAGCCTCAGAGGGCACCCTGAGTCCGGCGGGGGCCCGGGCCGGCTGTTCTGAGCCTCAGAGGGCACCCTGAGTCCGGCGGGGGCCCGGGGTGGCTGTCCTGAGCCTCAGAGGGCACCCTGAGTCCGGCGGGGGCCCGGGGCGGCTGTCCTGAGCCTCAGAGGGCACCCTGAGTCCGGCGGGGGCCCGGGGCGGCTGTCCTGAGCCTCAGAGGGCACTGGTGACTCCCAAGGGTGGCTCAGGGTGGCTGTCCAGAGCCTCAGAGGGCACTGGTGACTCCCGAGTGTGGCTCGGGGCGGCTGTCCAGCGCTGGATGCATGATGACCAGATCTGGCTTTTCTGTCTTCACAGCCTGAAGCTCCTGCACGGACCCCTCACTCAGCTCCACGGAGGTCAGGCTATGGCCACATGCACAGGACAGGGCATGGTCAGTGGGGGGAAGAGGCCGGGGCTGCTGGAGGGCAGGAGGTGGGCAGGGAAGGGGTCTGCCCCAGGCTGTGCCACAGGCACACAGGGACAGACGGTGGTCAGTTAGGAGGTTTGTCAGAGGCTGGTAAAGAGAGGCAGGGGTGGGGGCCTTTGGAGCAGTAAAACGGCGTCCAGATCACTGGACCAGTCCATGGCCGTGGGCACAGACAGCAGACTTGGGCAGGCAGAGTGGTCAAGGCCCAGGGCTGTGGCCAGGGCTTCAGAGGGGCTCTCTCAGGGCTGGGCTCCCAGGTCTGTGTTTAAGGTCGGTCACTTGGGAGGTCCCTCGGAGGGGCTCCTATTCAGGGTCCAGGGGAAGCCCCCAGGCATCCAGCCCCCACCCAGGTTGACAGGCTGTGTCCCCACACCCTTCCCGCCCCTGCCTCCACCTGAGGGTCTGCAGGCTGCACGCTGGGTGCTGCAGGACGGCACACAGGTAGGTCACCATGGAGCCGGGCAGCTGACAGCCACTGAGATCCAGAGTGGTCAGGGCGGGGCTCTGCCGGAGCATGGCAACCAGGTACTGGAGGGCTCCCTGGGGGCCAGGCAGCTGCAGCCTGTGGGGAGGGCTGACCTCAGGAGCTGCTGAGTGCGGGGGCCCATCCCTCAGTCCCTCCCCGGCCAGGCCTTACCTAAGCGTCTGCACCCGGCACTGGGGCCAGGCCAGGCCCTCGCTCAGCAAACGCAGGCCGACCTCACTGAGCCGGCAGTGGAGGAGGCTCAGCTCCGTCAGGGCAGGGGCTGCCCGCAGGGCCTCAGAGAGGTCCCGGCAGACCGTGTCCGGGAGTTTGCAGTGGGAAAACCTGTGGTCAAGAAGCACGCTTCTACAAGCTCCTCAGCCACCTCCCCACCCCCATTCCCAGGTGGCCTGCGGTCCTCCCAGGACCCCACAGGGCCTTCCCTCCCTTTGCCACCACGTGTCCCTGGGAGCTGTGTCCACTGTGTCCACACACTGCTCTGTGGCCCCTTCTCCCTCATGAGCCTTTTTTTTTCTGAGACAGAGTCTCACTCACTCTGTTGCCTGGGCTAGAGTGCCGTGGCATCAGCCTAGCTCACAGCAACCTCCAACTGCTGGGCTCAAGCGATCCTCCTGCCTCGGCCTCCTGAGTGGCTGGGACTACAGGCATGCGCCACAATGCCCGGCTCATTTTTTCTATATATTTTTAGTTGGCCAATTAATTTCTTTCTATTTTTAGTAGAGATGAGGTCTCACTCTTGCTCAGGCTGGTTTTGAACTCCTGACCTCGAGCAATCCTCCCACCTCGTCCTCCCAAAGTGCTAGGATTACAGGCGTGAGCCACCACGCCCGGCCGCTTACGAGCTTTTTGATGATCCGAGACAGACCTCATTTTCAACACATTTGAGTGCCACATAGCTGTCCATCAAGTTGAGATGGGCCCTCGTTTATTCAGCCAGCCAGTCCCTAAAGTTTGGGTAGTGGTGTTGTCTCTACTTTCTTTTTTTTTTTTAATTCTTTTTTATTTTTTTCCCTTTCAAACTTTAGTACAATGTATCTACTTTTTTGCCATGATAAATAGTGGTGTGCTGAACATCTCTATGCACTTAACTTACCAGTAGAATCGCTGGCCAAATAGGATCACCTTTCTGGCTCCTATGTTTACCTCCCTATCGCCATATCCTGCCCCCGCCCCCGCCACACTAGGCTGATTTGCCATGTCACCATTGACACATGGCAGCCTATTTCATCATGCCCATCGCTGCTGGTTGCTACAATGTTTCTTACCTCTGCTCCCTTGGTGATAGCTAAGAGTAATTGGACAGTCATTTCATTCTGAGTCCTGTACATGTGTAACCTTGTTAAATCTCACATCATCCTCTTAGGCAGCATCTACTGGCTCCATTCCCAAGTGTGGATACAGTGACTAGCCCAAGGGCACACAGAGCATGCTGGGATCTGCAGGCCACCTGACCCTCGGGCCTAAGCCTGGCCATTGCCCTCCATCGCTTGCATCTAAGAATCCAGAGGGATCACCCTGCAGTTTCCAACAGCACTCAGCAGCCTTCTTTTGCAAGGAAAATACATTATTTTCTTCTTTATTTCTCCCCTAGAATGCTTAGCTGCACTCTGCTTTCCATGCAGGCCAGGACTAAACCTTTTCCTACCATCACCTAACCTGGTGACAAAGCCGAGGACCCCTCTATAACCCTTGTCCCCCTGCCCTGTGTGGTGGAGCCTGCCAACCCCAGCACCAGACCCGAGGCCACAGGCTCTCAGCCTGTCCCTCAGCTACTCCCACCAGGCCACACTCTGTCTCTGCCCAGGGCATCCCACTCTCTGTCCCCCCGTGGGAGGGGCTGAGGGGTGGGCACTCACGTGAGGCTGGTCAGACCGCACTGCTGGTCAGTCATGGCCTCAAAGAGTGGACACAGTGAGGAGGGCGGGAGTTGTTTCGTTGTGGCTCGAGAACTGCTGGGAGAGAGAGGAAGGTGAAGCCCATCTTGGCCCTCCCAGTCACCCGCCCCCAGAAAGGGCTCCTTCCCATCCTTAGTCCTGGGGTCTCAGTGCTGCCCTGCCCCTCACCTGCAAGCTCAGCCGGGACCTCCCCACCCCTCCCCCCACCAAACCCAGAATGAAACCACTTGTCTGTGGCCAGTGTGAGCATGTCACCCACATTCCCAAGGTGGGTCTTCAGGTCCCCAGGCCCAGCCCCTGCCAGCGTCCTGACATCCATTCTCTCAATAGATGTCACGCACACCTAGGCAGGTGCTGAGTTGGAGATAAATCCAAAGAAATTCTCCTAAGCCTTGCCCTGTCTGGTGGAGGAGACAGGCATGGGCAGGTCTCATGGCAGGATGGTCAACAGGCCAATTCGGGGGCCAGTGGAGTCCTAGGCCGGCTGTGGGAGCCAGGGCAGCCTTTGAAGACAGGCAGCAAACAGAATGTTCTGGTGGAGGGAACGGCAAGTGCAAAGGCCCAGTGCACAGAGGACATGGTGTATTCCAGAACTTATTAGGAGAAGGTGTAAAAGTGTGTGTGTGTGTGTGTGTGTGGGGTTGACCAGAGCGCATGGCCATGCTGGGAGGTTGCCTTGGTTGTGCATGACTGGGAGTGGGCACAGTGAGGACCCCCTGGGGAAGAAGGTGGCCAGTGGGCAGCTACCTTGCAAGGAGGTGAACACAGCAGCCCCAAGTTCCTCTCTCCTGTCTGAGAGAGCAGGTGCCAGGTCTGGACACACTCCCCAGGCACAGATGGACACTGAGGCTCAGGGGCATGCTTAGGCACCCATGCCTCCCACACAGGAGGACCTCTCTGCCCTGGACACTCACCTGCTGCTGCCCAGGTGGCCCTGCAGCCGCTTCACCAGGCTCTTCTTCTTCCTCTTCTGTGCAGCGGCCAGTCTGCAGCTGACCAGCCGAAGCGCCTGTCCCGTGGGGCAGCACCTCACGCAGTAGCTCAGGACAGCGATGTCCATACGGCTGAAGCTCACACGCTCCAGCGCCAGCTCGGGGAAGCTGCCCAGGGCCTGGCGCACAAAGGCATCCTCCTGCGACTCGTACAGGCAGTACAGCAGCTCCAGCGGGTAGTTCAGCTCCTCCTCCTCCTCCTCCTCCTCTGGCTCTTCCTTGTCCTCGAGCACTTCGGTCCCCTCTGGTGTCGCCCTGGGGCAGCCCTGCCCCTGCACCCACCGCAGGGCGTGCTGCTTCACTCTCTCCGAGACCACGCAGCCGAAGTGGTGCTCGATGTCGCGCATCCGCTCCGCGCTCAGTAGTCCAAAGAGGAAGCGCGTGGTGAGCGCAAGGTAGTGGCGCAGCTGGGCGTCCCCACGCAGGAGCGTCCCAAGGCCGCCAGCCTCTCCGCCGGGAGACCCCTCGTCCTCCAGCAGGTAGGAGAGGGCTGCGAAGAACTCCTGGAAGCTCTGGTCGGTGAACTGGTAGGTGACCTCGGTCTCCAGCACGCCGGGCAGCTCTTTCTTGCTGAGAAACAGTGTCTGGACTTTGGAGCCGCGAAGCTCCAGTCGCTCCAGGTCCTTCTCAGCGAACTGAGCCCTGTGCCCCAGGACGCCCTCGCGGGCCAGGCGGCACAGCTTGCGCAGCTCTCCCTGCACGCGGGGCCGGTCCGCGGCGGGAGCGGAGCTCAGCACGCTGGCAATGAAAAGCAGGTACATGGCCGTGGTGGTCTTGGAGGTGCGAGACAGGTCCCGGCCGAGCTCCAGCTGCTGGCGCAGCACGGTGCACACGATCCAGCACACGAAGGGCACGAAGCACAGCGCGAACAACGTCTCGTTCTCTTTCACGAAGCGGTAGGCGCGCTCGGCCCTCCACTCGTCCTGGAAGAACTTGTAGAAATACTTCTTCTTGTCCTTGTCGGAGAAGCCGCAAACCTCGGCGCACTGCGGGGAGCACAGGCGGCCCTGCAGCCTCCCGGGGGCGGAGGCGCGCGCGGTCACCAGCAGGCGGGCCGTGGGCAGCAGCGCCTTGTTCAGCAGCCCGCACAGCACCCGCGCGCCGCTCGTAGCCTCGAAGGGGTCTGTGCAGGGCGCGGCTTCGGGGGCGTCCGGCGCCGGCAGCTCGTCCGCGCCGTCCAGGATGAAGAGGAGCCGCTGCGGCTGCCCCAGCATCTGCTGCACCGGCGCACCGCGGTCTGGGCACTGGTCCAGGATCAGGTCGGCCAGGCTGCGCGCGCCAGGCCGCTCCAGCAGCTCGCCGCACGGCATGAAGAAGGCGAAGTCCACCTGGCTCTGGTAGAGCTTGCCCGCCGCCCAGTCGTACAGGATTTTCTTGGCCGCCATGGTCTTGCCGATGCCCGCCGGGCCCTGCAGCACCACGGTCAGCGGCCGCTGGCCCTCCTTGTCGCGGCGGTACAGCCGGCTGAAGGTGTGTGTGTCCGAGCGGCGCGCGCGCTGCGGCTCGGGCGCCTCCGCCGGCCCCAGCGCCTCCTCCTCCAGGGCGCCGCTCTCGGCCGCGATGAGCAGCTTGGTGAAGCGCTTGCTGATCTTCACCGAGCGCGCATTTCTCTCCTTCACTTTGGCGTGCTGCCGCAGCACGTGCTCCCGGTACTTCTTCTTGTACTCTGGCGGGAGCGGGGACCGACGGCGCGGTGGCGTCAGTCGACCTCCGGGAGCCAGCCGAGGGCCTCCCCGCCCAGCTCGGGCCTCAGTTTCCTCTGCTGTGCCACAGCCTCCTCCCCCGCCAGCCTTCCCACGCCTGGTCCTCCCAGGACCAGCTGTTGGGAACCCCCAGGCGGTGTCGGGACGCTCGAGCTCCAGCCTGGGGCTCAGGGGCACTCGGGCCTGCACCCTCCCGCTCCCCCCAGAGAGACCTACCAGACAAGGAGAGCAGCGCCGAGGAGCTGCGGCCGAGCCCTGGAAGGAAAACCTGCGGTGAGGCCCCGCCTAGGGCGGGGCGCGATCGCAGGCGGGGGTCGCGCTCCGCAGCTCCCAGGGTCCCGCGGGGGATTTTCCCAGGGAGCGGCGAGGGGCGGGGCGAGACAGCCCGGACCCGAGGGGTGGGGGGGCGGCTCCGAGACAGCCCGGACCTGAGGGGTGGGGGGCGGCTCTGGGACAGCCGGGACCCGAGGGGTGGGGGGGCGGCTCCGGGACAGCCGGGCCCCGAGGGGTGGGTGGGGCGGGGCCGGGACAGCCCGGACCCGAGGGGTGGGGGGAGCGGCTCCGGGACAGCCCGGACCCGAGGGGTGGGGGGAGCGGCTCCGGGACAGCCGGGACCCGAGGGGTGGGGGGGCGGCTCCGGGACAGCCCGGACCCGAGGGGTGGGGGGAGCGGGGCCGGGACAGCGGGACCCGAGGGGTGGGGGGAGCGGCTCCGGGACAGCGGGACCCGAGGGGTGGGGGGGGTGGCTCCGAGACAGCCCTGACCCGAGGGGGGGGGCGGCTCGGACAGCGGACCACCGAGGGGATGGGGGGGTGGCTCCGGGACAGCCGGGACCCGCGAAGGGTGGGGGGGTCTCCGAGACAGCCCGGACGAGGGGGTGGGGGGGGGGCTCCGGGACATCCGGAACCCAGGGGTGGGGGGGCGGCTCCGAGACAGGCCCGACCCAGGGGTTGGTGCTTCCGGACAGCCCGGGACCCGAGGTGGGGGGTGCTCCGGGACAGCGGACGAGGTGGGGAGCGGCTCGGACAGCCCGGCAGGGTGGGGGCGCTCGAGAAGCCCTGACCGAGGGGTGTGGGGGTGGCCCTCCGGACAGCCCGGGACCCGAGGGTGGGGGGGGGGTGTCCGGGACAGCCGGGACCCGAAGGGGTGGGGGGAGCGGCCGGACACGCCGGGACCCGAGGGTGGGCGGCTCCGGACAGCGCCGAGGGTGGGGGGGCTGGCTCCGGACGCCGGGACCTGAGGGTGGGGGGTGCTCCGAGACGCGGACCCGAGGGGGGGTGGCTCCGGGACCCGAGACCACGAGGGGCGGGCGGCTCCGGGACAGCCGGGACCAGGGGGCGGGCGGCTCCGGAAGCCCGGCCGAGGGGGGGGTCCGGGACAGCCGAGACCCGAGGGGTCGGGGAGCCGGCTCCGAGACAGCCGGACGAAGGGGGGGTGCTTCCGGACAGCCCGACCCTAGGGGTGGGGGGGCGGCTCCGAGACACCCTGACCCGCAGGGGTGGGGGGGGTGGCTCCGGGACAGCCCGGGACCCGAGGGGTGGGGGGGGCGGCTCCGGGACAGCCCGGGACCCGAGGGGTGTGGGGGGGCGGCTCCGGGACAGCCGGGACCCGAGGGGTGGGGGGAGCGGCTCCGGGACAGCCCGGGACCCGAGGGGTGGGGGGGGCGGCTCCGGGACCTCCCACCCCGAGCTCACGCTGCAGCCGCTGCTCCTTGAGCCGCGCCGCCACGTCGCGCACGTCCGCCCGCTTCAGGGTCTTGCGGGCCACGTCCAGCGCCGGCTCCGGTCCGTAGAAGTTGGTCAGCTGCTCGGCCAGGTCCACGGCGTCCGCGAGCTCCAGCCGCCCCCATGGGATGCTGCGCCCGTCCGCCAGCGAGTCCCGGAGCTTGTGGCGGAAGCGCTTCAGCTGCTCCTGGCTGAGGTCCTCCAGTGCGGCCAGGAGCAGCTCGCGGGCCACGGCGGCGCGGGGCCCCATGCTGCAGGCGGGAGTCGGAGGCTGTCCCCTTGACCGATCCCGTCCCACCGCCCCTCCCCCCCTCCCCACTCCGGTGTCTGCTCCCGGCAGGGATGCTGACATGCCCAGGCCCTCCCAAGGGGCTCCGGGCCAAGGAGTAGATGCAATCCACGGGTAAGGGGTACAGAGGCAGGAGAGACTCCAGACTCCCTTCGCCCCTCCCAAGAGGGGGGTCAAGGCCTCTTGGCCTTCCAAGAGGAAGTGGGCACAGGCCGTTGCCGACCCAAGCGCTGGGGGAGGCCTTCCTGCTCCATCCTTCCCTTCCACTTTGTTCTTTCCACATACCTGGCCAGGCAGGGTCAAATGCTCAAGGTGAGGTGTCTACAAGGGCCTATGTGCTCCCCTTTCCCTCCCCTCCCTGCGAGCCTGGAGCAGAGCTGGTCCCAGCAGGCTGGCCCAGGCTGTATTCCTGGACCCCCACCCCAGGCTACTGTTCAATGGGCCCAGCCTGGGGACCTTGCTCCAGGGGCAGACTACACAAATGGCATCTGTAGGGTCCTTCAGAATCCTGAGCCTGGGATGGGGCTGGGGGAAGGATGTGGACAGGGGTGTGAAACCCCAAGGGGTCAGCCAGTGGATAGGGTGGAGGCCCCAGGCGGGCTGAGACTAACCAATCCCAGGTGACCATGCTGGGAGCCTGCACTCACCTGGGGCAGGAGGCCTCGGGCCCATCCATGGAGTCTCCTCCCTGGATCTATCTCTCAGGAGCAGAGGCAGGCATCAGAGAGGTATCCCTTCCCCAGGCTGACCTGGAGCCAAGTCTTAGGGGGTCGTTCAGCCGGGTCCATTCCCCAGGTCAGCACACCCCAGCTCAATCAGCACTGAGATGTCCTTCTGACAGTCACCAAGCTCCCAAACTCAGGCACTATGGCACAGGCACACTGCCACCTTTTAAGTGCTCTGCTTGGTGACCTTTGATTTCTTACAAGTCCTTTATTCCATTAACATTCCCCAAGAACCCATGGGGCGTGGCATCAAGGAATGGCTGTGAGCAGGTCACAGCAGAACAAGGTGGGCTGCATGGAGGGGGTGGCTGGCTCAGAATGAGCCCTTCAGCCAAGGCCTCAAGAGAGGTTAGAGCCCGAAGCAGGAGGGAGGAAGGGCTTTCAGGTAGAGGGACACTGAGAACAACAGAGGATGTGCACAGTGTTACGGGGAAGGCAGGCTAGCAGCAGGCACGAGGAGCTGCTGGGACAGGGACAAACTGAAGCTCCCCAAACCAGACCTGAGCAGGTTGTCAGGCAGAGGTTTGCACATGAAGCATGCATGTAAGCCCCGGGACTACGTGTGACCACAAGCGTGTGGTTCCAGTGACAGCGAGTGGAATATGTGGTGTGTGGACGGGAGAAATGGGGGCGTGTGTGTCTGTGTGACCACATTGACATTGTGTCTGTGTGGACATACCTGTGCTGGGCTAAACAGTGGTCCGCAAATCGGTCAGGTCCTAATCCCCAGAACCTGTGACTGTTCTCTCACCTGCCAAAAGGTGGGCCATTATCATGGGTTATCCATGTGGGCCCCGGATGTCATCCTCAGAGCAAAGAGGAGGAGAGTGCCATTCGACACAGAGAAGGCAGCCCTGGGCCTGCTGGCCTTGAGGGTGGAACAGGGGTCAGGGGCCAGGGAGCCGGGGAAGGCAGCTCTGGAACCTGGCAGCGTGGCTGGAAAAGGCCAGCAGAGGTTCCCCTCCCCCCAGAGCCTCCATGCCGGGCCAACCCCTGGATCTCAGCCCAGTGAAACTGACTCTGGACTCCTGACCTACAGAACAGTAAGAGAATGAAGGTGTGCTGTTTTAAGCCACCGCGAGTGTAGTAGTTGGTTATAGCAGCCACAGGAAGTGAACGGAGCATCTCTCTGGGGGAACCTGTGTGGGCAGAGCTGTGTGCAAGGGCTGGGCCGCCTTGGGCCATGGGTCATCCTGTGTCTCTCCTGCTTCCATCGGAGCTGCCCTGGGGAGAGAATGCCAGAGTCCTGGGAGCCTCTAGTCCACTGCCCCATCCACCAGGAGGAAGGGGCCCAGGACAGGCCCGTTTCTCCCTGTGATTACTTTTTTCTATTTGGGACAAATTAGACCTTCCCTCTCCCCGAGGCTCAGGTTATCAAAGGTGTGATGCTTGTCCAGTCACACTCACACTTGCCCCTCAGACCCCCGATGTCTGTGTCCATCAGGCTCCTGTTGGCCGGTTCCTCTGGGGACCACCCGGCACCTGCAAGAGTCCCCTTGGGACTGGGGGCTTATGGACACCCTAGACCCAGGAGGACTCCGCTGGGCTGAGGAGTCTGGGCTCCACCTGCCTGGCCACGTGGCCTTAGCAAAGCAAATTCCCTGAGCCTCAGTTCTCTTTGCCCTAAAGCAAGGCGAAAAGTCCCATCTTCCAGGACGTTATGGTGACTCAGCCGACAGGAGCGAGGCCCCTCACCTTGCTTTCTGCACGGGGTGCTGGCGGTGACAGCTGTGCAGCCCCCTGCTGTGGCCACTGGGGATTCAGCAGAAAACACAGGGTACCCCCACATTTAACCAGGCAGCACTTGGGCTTCCTCAGAAAGCTGTGAGCAGAATGGAAGAAGGGAAACCCCAGGGCCAGTCTGGGGACACCCCCAGGCCAGGGGAGGGGGCCAGGTGACAGGAGCCTGGGGACAGAGCCACATGGAGATGGGCCCTCCTGCTCTCTCCTGCTCCCTGTCCCCCACCGCGGTCTCACCTGACTGCACTCACCACTGGCACCGTGGGCAAGGGGACAGCCGTCCGGCACTTATCCTGGGACATCTGTGCTTTAAAGTGACTTTTGTGAACACGAAAAGTCTCCCTTGTGATCACAGAACCCTAAGAGGGAGAAGCAGCCGCACGCTGGCAGGCCCAGAGCAGGGGCGAGGCCTCACCCCAGGCCACGGTGTAGGCAGCACCCAGTAACGCAGAGGGGGGACAAGGTCTCCCTGGGGTCAGGGTCCTGGGGAAAGCCCTGGGCAGCCTGTCATCTGAGACGAGAGACCAGCCTGGACACCAGGCACTGGTCTGGCTGCCGGAGGGAGCGACTGCCATGAGCACTTGGCTCCGAGGTGTCTGTCTCGTGCCTCGACTCCGCCAACAGCCGGGACTCTGTGGAGGGAGGCTGCAGGCACAGCGACATCGCAGGGAAGAAATGAAGACGTGTCGGAGAGTCTTGGCCTTGTGTGGCGTGGTGGGCACTGCTGGCCCCCGGGGCCGGGGCCCCACTGCTGACAGCCCCAGGTGCCCCCACGGCCATCGCCGAGGCCCACTCTGTCCCTGATGTGCCCCAGGTGGCCCCACGGGCCATCGCCGAGGCCCACTCTGTCCCTGACGTGCCCCGCACAGGCCTCGGCTCTCAGATGCACATTCTCTTTTCTCTCTCCTGGGTATGATTTCTTGAAAACAATTTCTCCGCACCTGCTCTGCCTCCTCTTCACTGTGGTTTGAGTCAGAAATCAAACAGGTCACAAGCACAGTCTCCCAAGCCAGACTGCCTGGGAGCAAGTCCTGAACCCACCACCCAATAGCTGTGTGACCCTGGACAAGTCAGTCCACTTCTCTGGGCCTCCAAGTCCTCATTTGTGAAATGGGGCTGTGATGACGCTCATGCTGTGGGGCTGAGAGGGCCAAGCTGTGGTGGGGTGCGGCGCATCCTAGACACCTGGCCTCCCGCCACGCGCTCTGTGGGCAGCCTCTGCCCCTGCAGCACTGTTCTGCAGCTGGGCTTTCTGGGCCGCCAGGAACACCCTAACCCTAAACCCACTTCAGTTCTGCTCACCAGCACCCAGCACTGCAGGCTTACCACTGCCTCTCCCTGGAAATTTCCTGTTGCCAGAGGCAACCCCGGGCCGTAGGGCAGTGTAGTGTCAGCTCCTGGGCGATCTGCCATCCCGGGTGGGGCAAGGTCACGAGGCCTGTAGCGTGGGACCTCAAGGTCACGGTTTGCCTTCGCATCTGCATTAGGGGGACCCCACCTCGAGTGGACTCTGCACCCACGAGCTCTCAGCACCTGTTGATAACAGCCCCGGAAAGGGATTTGATGACAGAGCCAACATTTCCAGGAGTCCTTGGCCACAGTGAAATGTGGAGGCTTGGGGAGGGGAGAGAGGATTGGGAGCGGGGGCGGGGAAGCCTGGCGACAGCTGGGGGGAGGAGGCCAGGGCAGCAGGAGAGGAGAGAAGGGAGTGGGGAAGCCCGAAGTGCAGTCCACCCCGGATTTGTGTCGTCCACAAGGTTAGCCTCTGGGAAGAGCCACCACTTCCCAAGGTATGATTTTGAAATCTCTAAAAGTTAACTTAGACTTCATTGTGAATTTCCTCAAAGGTCCCTCCAAAGGGATTTTACTACCCAGCAAAACTTCATGCAAATCATTGATGGTGGCTCACACCTGTCATCCTAGCACTCTGGGAGGCCGAGGCAGGAGGATTGCTCACAAGGTCAGGAGTTTGAAACCAGCCTGAGCAAGAGTGAGACCTCATCTCTACTATAAATAGAAAGAAATTAATTGGCCAACTAAAAATACATAGAAAAAATTAGCCGGGCATGGTGGTGCATGCCTGTAGTCCCAGCTACTCGGGAGGCTGAGGCAGGAGGATGGCTTGAGCCCAGGAGTTTGAGGTTGCTGTGAGCTAGGCTGACGCCATGGCACTCTAGCCCGGGCAACTCTGGTCCTTTCCTCCTCCCTCCCAAGTCCTCTCTTGGCGGCCACTGATGAAATCTCCTGGAGTCCCCCCCCCAAACTGCTCCTCCCCTGGGGTGCTCCTCCCCTGGGGTGCCCGTCCCCTGGGGTGCCCCTGCCCTGGGGTGCCCCTCCCCTGGGGTGCTCCTCCCCTGGGGTGCTCCTCCCCTGAGGTGCCCGTCCCCTGGGGTGCTACTCCCCTGGGGTGCTCCTCCCCTGGGGTGCCCGTCCCCTGGGGTGCTCCTCCCCTGGGGTGCTCCTCCCCTGGGGTGCCCCTCCCCTGGGGTGCCCCTCCCCTGGGGTGCTCCTCCCCTGAGGTGCCCGTCCCCTGGGGTGCTCCTCCCCTGGGGTGCTCCTCCCCTGGGGTGCCCGTCCCCTGGGGTGCTCCTCCCCTGGGGTGCTCCTCCCCTGGGGTGCCCCTCCCCTGAGGTGCCCCTCCCCTGGGGTGCCCGTCCCCTGGGGTGCTCCTCCCCTGAGGTGCCCGTCCCCTGGGGTGCTCCTCCCCTGGGGTGCTCCTCCCCTGAGGTGTCCGTCCCCTGGGGTGCTCCTCCCCTGGGGTGCTCCTCCCCTGAGGTGCCCGTCCCCTGGGGTGCTCCTCCCCTGGGGTGCTCCTCCTCTGGGGTGCTCCTCCTCTCAGATCTCCTTCCTTCAGAAAGCCTGTTCTTTTCTTTCTTTTTTTCTTTCTTTTTTTCAGCATATTATGGGGGTACAAATGTCAAGGTTACGCACATTGCCCTTTCCCCCTGCCCCCTCGAGTCGGCGCTTCCAGCGCGTCCATCCCCGAGTTGGTGCACATGGCAGTCATTATGTATGCATACGCCCATCCCCTCCCCCCACGGCCACCCCATAGATGTTATTCCTACACGCACACTTAGGTGTCGATGAGCTAATACCAATTTGCTGGCGAGTACGTGTGGTGCTTACTTTTCCATCCTCGGGATACTTCAGTTAATAGAATGGGTTCCAGCTCCACTAGAAAGCCTGTTCTTGAGCGTCTCCTGTGTGTGTGTGTGTGTGTGTGTGTGTGTGTGTGCCCAGCGGCAGTCCCTTCCCCGCTGTGAGCATCCACTCACACTTCTCCACCACAGAAAAGGAGCCATGGAAGGCTCCAGCAGCCCGTACTTGGATGAGCAGCTAAATGGACCCACGGCCACCCTCCCCCGCGTGCCAGCGGACCAGTAACTTAGACGAAGTGGACCAGTTCCTAGAGAGACTCCCACTACTGAAACTGACTCAAAAAGAAGTTAAAAATCTGAATAGCAAGTAAAGAGATTGGATTAGTAATCAAAACATTTCCCACAGAGGAAAGTCTTATACCTCTGCAGTCCCAGCCCCCCGGGCTGCAGACTGGCACCATGGCCTCCTGTTAGGAGCCGGGCCACACGGCAGGAGGGCAGGTGAGCCAGCGAAGCTTCACCTGCATTTACCTCCGCTCCCCATTGCTCACATCACGGCCTGAGCTCCTCCCCTGTCAGACCGGCTGAGGCCTTAGTTGCAGGAAAACAAGCTCAGGGCTCCCACTGATTCTGTGTTACGGTAAGTAGTATAATTATTTAATTATATGTTACAATGTAATAATAATAGAAATAAAGTGCACAATAAATGTAATGCACTTGAATCACCCCGAAACCATCCTCCCTACCCCCTGGTCTGTGGAAAAATTGTCTTCCATGAAAACAGCCCCTGGTGCCAAAAAGGTTGGGGGCCGCTGCTGTACCTTATGGCTTCACTAGTGATTCTACCAAACACTTAAGAAGTAAACTCAATCTTATAGAAACTCTTACAAAAAAATGTAAATGGAGGGATTGTTTCCAAAATCATTCATACGACCCTGATGCCAAAGCAGGCAAACCCATTGTAAGAAAACCAAAGACCGATATCTACTATGAATGTAGATACAAAAAATCCTCAACAAATTGCTCAGCAAACAGAATCCAATAACGTGTAAAAAGAATTATAAACCATGACTGACTGGGTTTTCTCCAAGGAGTGCAAATGTGTTTTAACATCCAAAAATAAATT